CCCAGATTTGATCCCTGGGTCACAAAGATCCCCTGGAGAAGGGAATGGCTACCCACTCCAGCATTCTTCCTGGAGGATTCCACGACAGAGGAGCCTGGCACGCTACAGTCCATGGATTGCAGAATCAGACACAGCTGTATGACTAACACTTTTACTTTCACCAAGAGTCTTAACCTGAAGATATGATTTAGTAAACTGACTAAACTATATTTTGCTGCAAATCTACATTGAAATGAATGCCTGCTTGGGTCTCAAATGCCTTAATTTCCTATTAAAGATATGCATATAAACCACAGAGAGAGGAAGAATCTTGTGAAATAAAAGGCATGCTCATTCACAGGTCAAGAGTATAGCTCCGTGTGTCATTTCTGAATCCTGAATACTCCCGAGGCACTTTATTTAGATGTAGAAGGTGCAAAATACCTACAGATTGACAAAATTTTTTAATTGGATTATGATCTGTAAGGGATTTCAGTGATGTTATGGTATATTCATGTCATTTTACAGAGGATAAAATTGAGGCTACAAAAGTTTGATAGACTATCAGGACATATCTAACTTTTGTGTAGAGCCAAGACTATAACCCAGGGGTCTTAATTACCAAGAGAGATGTATTTCTGCTACACAAAATAAGAAGTACCATTTATTGAGCACTTGCTATGTACTGCCTCTTTGTGTAAGTGATATCAAATATTCAGGGGAAAAAAAAAAAAAGATGTGCCCTCCCCATATTATAGTTGAGAAAATAGAAGTTCAAAGAATTTAAGGGTCTTGCTCAAAGCAGCATGCTGGGTCACTAGACAGCTAACATTCAAACTCAACTCTGCTTCCAAACCCACTGCCTTCCATGTCACACCACATTAACACCCATTAACAAAATAAAGTACTGATGAGAGAAGAAGGTATTATGTGGCTTGCTAGAGAAATAAAAAATCCTTTTATCATTTCACTCTAGAAAAAAAAAGTTTAAAAAATTACATGAAAGTATATAGTCAAATGAAGTATTCATAAGCAACCTCTCTATAAAATCAGATTTGTAATTAACTTAGAAAAGGAATCTATTCTTGAAGAACACCAGATCTGAAAGCTGAATGATGGCACATTACCTCGTGCTCAATGAATCACCAGGTGCGGATCCCATGTCTCAGTAAAGATGAAGATGTGGGCGGATAAGAGAACAGCCAAATCACTACTTTAAGGTAAAGAATGCAATGTGACAGGCACAGGTTATACAGTCCTTGCTTTCCTACAAAGAGATGGAGTTTCCAGGTAAGACTATGCCTTCCTCCACCATCATGTGAAATCTGTCCCAGACAGATGTCTTTAAAATACAGATCTCCAAGGGTCTGGGTTTTTCTACCCCACCTTAACATCTCTAAGACAAGTCATTCTGTGGGATTTTGAAGTCAGATCACCCTGGGAGTCAGTGTCTGTTTTGCCACTGAACTGTTATATCTTCTTAGCAAATCATTTAACCTTCTGAAGCCTCAGTTTCCTCACTAATGCAATGAAGATAATAATACCTACTCATAAAATTTTTGGGAAAATTAAATGAAATGATGAATGTCAGGCATCTACCCCAAAACCTGACTCAAGTTGGAACTCAGTTTACTCACTAAGGATGGATGGTAAATGTCAAGTCCCAGGACAACAAAAGGCAAAAAAGTATATAAAAACCAACCAGATCATCATTCACTATGATAAATGCAGTATTAAAAATATCATAATAGCAAAATATGTCAAGTAAAAGCCTCTATTAACAAATCCTGTAACACTATTTTTAGTGAGAAAAGGACAAGAGAGTGAACTGAAATATTCAAATTGACTCCAGCATAAAAATATGAAAAAGAGATATTAACACTTGACACCTGCCTCAGGGATATTGTAAGGATTAATGAGTACAGAACTTTGAAATTCCTTGGATATAAAGAATAAATACATCCCCACCATACATATGTATAGATAAATATATATTTTAACAAACTAAGAACTGCTCTGTAAATTTAGATCAGGGCACAGCATGCCTCGGATGAGTAGGGTAGGAACAATATGTTCTTGCTTACGACACCAAGCTCATGACAAATGATTCATACCCAGCACCTTTCATGCCAAAAGATCCCCCCAGGTGTTCTAACAACTTCATCAACACTTTTCATCAAGCTAGACTGCAGCACAGAGGAATCACATCACACCCACAGATGAGGCAAAACAGTCATATCTTTACCCAACTGCACAAGTCCAACAGAGGAGGGGGCAGGAAGGAGAAGGGAAAGAGTTGCAAGAAGGATCCAGAATTCTTCACAAGTTTGACAGGCAGCCTATAATTACCATACATTTACACCTTTAATGCAGGTGCTATTGTCATCAGAAGCCGTACTTAGCAAAGACTTTTAGCTAAAGGTGAGGCAGGTTCAGAGGATGTGTATTGCCCCTGGCCCTGAATGGGTTGGGGGTGGATCCATAAGGGATGACAGTTAAAGGAGAAGAAAATGAGAGCCCTCTCCCGCCACTGCTGTCCTCAGAGTTAGGTTAGTGGATTTCTTCCTCTGGGGGAACGCGCAAAGCCATGAGATGAGAGTTACAAAGATGTATACACTACTTTACAGTCACGACGCCCTCTTAAGTATATCCTGGCACATAATTCTCAGTAATGAATCTGACAGGCATCCTCCCCTCCTGTTTTAGACATGAGGGAATCCACACTCAGGCAATCAGCTTGTCAGGATCAAACCACGAAAAGGCAGAACTAGAACTCAGGTCTCCACTCTGCTTTTCACATCACAAAGTTGCCCAGAAAAGTTTCTTTCCACCTTCCTTACTTTCAAAAATATTTTAAACTTTCTTTCTCCTATGAATCTGGGATGGCTTTGTGGAAGATCCTGATAAAACACTGTTTCTCTTCCTCTACTACCTATATGTATACACTGAGAAAAAAACTACAACAATTTGCATGTAAGTGGGCAGGGATGGAAGGTGTGACCTTGTAGAATGAAGACTTAGGATAGAGATCTCATTAGTTTAATGATTTCAATGCTCCAACTTTTAGCACTTTATTTCCTACATCATCTCCGACTTCTTTACATGTCACCCATCCAAGCCTTGACCCATAAGCCTGACTGGGTTTATAAGCACCATTTAAAAAGGGCCAGCAGGGCTTGGCAGCATTTCTTAAATGGTGTCTAAAATTTGCCAAAGATGTACTCTCCTTTTCTTGCTCTTTCCAAGATCTTTCAAGAGGTGAACTAAAGTAGAGGTCTAATGAGTGAGTGATATTTTACAGCTTGAATTACATTAAAAGCCAGAAATATTTTGAGTCCAAGGTCCTTTACTTCTTGATACAAGATCTAATATGTCTGATGTGTTTAAAATCTCGTCTTAAAGCTGAGGGCTTTGAGTTAATCACTTAAAACAGAGCAAAAGTTATTTAATCAGTTTAAGAAGATTCAAGTTCAAATCGGGGGATTAATTTTAGTGATTATGATATGAAAGATATGACAGTTAAGGTAAGGAATGAGGGCAAGGGTCTCCAGACCTTGAATGAAAATAATTTCAGTTTCAATTATTTGATTAAACCAGTACTGGGCACATAGCTTTCATCATAAAGGCTAAACTGTAGGGAAAGCCGTGCTGATATTCTCAGAGATATGATACAAAATATTATTTATCACAATTTGCTTTAATACAATTTATGTCTATGTACCCAAGAAATCCATAATGATAGGTTCTTATTTTAAAATGTTCACAACTCTCATTAAAAAAGCTGACAATGAACACGATTTACTAAAGTGGCACTTCCCTGGGAAGGTTTCTGGCAATTACATCACAACTTAAAACATTTTGAAATGTACCAGGATGCACAGCTTGTGCCTAGTACAAATACCACAATCTCGGTAATCCAATAGAAGCTGAAACTTTGATTTTTCTTTTTCATTTTACTGTCCTTGGTTGCTATGTTCTTGTCTGCTTAACAGCAACATAGGGAAGTTTCCATACTTTTAAATCACCTACAGTTATTACCTCCAAAGCTCGCTCTTAACTATTTCAGCTCCTTGAAGTTTCTAGGTGCAGTTTAAGTTGGAATAGTTCCCTCAGATTCCACATATTCAGGTTTTTCCAAACATCTAAAACCTTCCCTGACTTGGCCGCAGCTCATGGACTTGCAACCAAGCTCCCCTCCCAAGTATCAGCCTCCTGGAAATCCAGCAATCCCTCTCCTTCCTTAACAAGGCAAGAGTGAAGTCTTTATTCGTGCTCTTCACTACAGGAGGTCAGGCAATGGAGGAGAACAGGGAGTTGTTGTCACAGAGATATATCTGATCTTCCTGGGACCGATCAAGTCAGAGAACAACCACTCATTCACAGGCTGGAAAGCCCCAGCTCTCCAAACACACTGGCTGATGCTGTTAGAAGATGCTGGAGAGTTCCCGTCCTGAAACTTGCATCCACTTGGTCCCCAGAAACAGAATGCATTAAGGGCAGCTCATTATCCACTGAATTTCTTTTCCATGCTAGGAAGAAGGGGTTAGGAGATCTGCACAAAAATAAAATTAAAAGGCTACAAATAAAGACTTAAAAAGAAATCTTACTTGCTCTCATCCTTAAGTCTAGCAAGTAAAAGAAAAGTCACTTGAGGGAACAGGAGGTTGCCTGGAAATTTAACCCTTTCATTTCCGCATTCAGAATACTTTAACCCCCTCTGTTTGCCTTGTCTTGGCTCCATCCTACACCATTGAGACCAAAGAAACGGGAAACAGGGATCTGCCTGCCCTGTGAGAAGCTTTGTTAGAGGTTTGGAGAGGACTCCGGTGTTGCTGGGAAAGGGGTGGGGGTAACTACCTAGTTGGTGGCATTTAACTCCTTGGGGAGAAGGGCAGGGAAGACTAATTTGCAGCATCTTTCAAGTCCCCAAACCCCATGTCCCCAAATTCTCCATCAGATCACACAGCTGACTTTAACCCTTTCCCTCTTCACCCCTTCGCCCTCAGTCCCATTTTACTCACGCTGCTGTTGTGGCCAGACCAGTGGACCATGGCTTGGTTGTGTGCCGAGTCGCCCGTCAGCGCGAACGTGGTGCTGGTCAGTCTCAGCTCCTCCAGCCGGAAGCGAGTGGCTTTGTCCGGGTCCCGCTCCAGAGCCCCAGGCTCCTGCTGCCCTCCGTCCCTTGGCACTCCCCGAGGGTTTCTACTCGTCCCCTCTCCTCGCTCAGCCTGCTCTTGATCCTCTCCACTCCGTCTCTTCCGGCCAGAGCGTGGAGCGACCGCCACCGACGCCCCCGTGCCCGGGGCCCGCTCCAGGGACAGCGCTCGGTCTCCGGGGGCCACTGCGAACAGGGGTCTTCCGAGTTGGGGCAGGGGCGCAGCAGGAGCTCTGCCTCGCGGTCCCCCGTGAGGAAGCCCCCCTGGGGTCGGAGCCCAGCGTGGAGCCGCGCTGGGATGCCGCGGGGGACAACAGGAGCCGCCGCCGCAGGAGCCCGGGGCGCAGAGGACCAAGAGCCCCGCGCCCGCGAGGAGCGCGCTCAGCCCGGCTGGGCAGCCGCCGGCGGCGCCAACTTTTCCCATCGCGGGAGCGGAGAGGAGTGGAGAAGGGGTCCCGGACCAGAGGCGGCGGTGCGGGGCTCTCAGCTGGCTGGCTGCGAGGGGCAGGCGCTCAGGACCCCAACTCCATCCAAGTTGGGCCGCGGTGGGGGCGGGCCGTGGCGGCGCGAGGCAGGTGGCGGCCGCTTGCTCCGGCTGGGTTGGTGCCGAGCACGGGAGCCCCTCCCGTGGGGGTGGCCAGCGGAGGGGTCACTGTGTGGGGATTTCCTATTCCTGTTTTATTGTTTCTGTCAGCCTCTGTGGCTGTTTCTTTCTTTTTAAAATCCCCCTCTCTGGTCATTTTCAGTTTGGAGAATAGGGATGAGTTGGCTTCTCCTCTTCTTAGTCTCAGCGAGTTGGCATCTTGACCTTACCTTGCAAACAGTGTGTGTCCCAGCATTAGCGGAGAATGATGTAATTAAAATATCGCCGGTGTGTGATGTGTGTGTGTGTGTGTGTGTTTGTAGTCTGAGGGATTTTTTCATCAATTATCACTCTTAGATTCCTTCCTTGACCTCCTAAAGCACTCACTGTATTTGAACCCAAGCTTACTGTATTTTGTGGACTATACCTTGGTTTCCTTAGAAGACTGCACACTCATTGAGGGCAGGAAGACTATGTTGTGTGCAACTTGGAAGAAGTATCCAGTTCGTTGTTGCCTTTTATCTTTAGTACTCGACACAGTGTCCAATATGGTAGGAAATCTGTCAGTCATTAATTCAATAAATACTTATTGTAAGATAGGTTTCCCAGGTGGCTCAGTGGTAAAGAATCTTCCTGCCAATGCAGGAGATACAGGTTAGAATCGTAGGTGGGGAAGATCCCCTGGAGAAGGGAGTGGCAACCGACTCCAGTATTCCTGCCTGGAAAATCCCATAGACAGAGGAGCCTGGCAGGCTACAGTCCATGTGGTCACAAAGAGTGGGACATGACTGAGCGCATTTACTGTAAGTCTGTTATATACAGTTCTGTGTGCAGATGCATACGGGAAAGGAAGCATGGTGCTCCATCTTTCCTGTGGCATTAGTGCCTAACCCAGAGCTATTAACACAGGCCTTTAGATTCCTAATAGCAAACTTCATGTGGATGCTGGATGCTCTGCCATTAGTTTGCTGTGGAATCTCAAACAAGCAGTAGTCTCTCAGCTTCCCAGGTTTAAAACAAAGTTGTTGCATTAGATGACCTTTAAAAATCCTTTCACTCCTAAAATTCCATAATTGTATGATTATATGGTCTGCCCTGCCTAGCTCCCCTGCTACTATTCAAAAGTTCATATGAAGATTTATAGTAGGTGAATGGGCTTTGAAAATTACAAAGAATTTCTCAAAAATCCAGGCCATTTTCAAACAGAAAGTTGCTTCTAAGGGTTGAAATAACTTCTCATGTCTTTGTAGTCTTCATGAGCCTGATAATACTTTCTTATCACATGGTAGCTATTAAATTATTCCATGAATATTTACTGATTGAATAAATGAATCCCACAATAAAACAGTACAATTTCCAATTTCTCATTATATGTTTGTTCATTTTCATATTTGCAAAGTTAACCTCACTGAAAAATCTGAATCCCGGGTTTGTGATGGGAAAACCAACTTTGAAAGTAACAAAATGATCATTATTCTTCAATTAATAATACTCTTTAATTCTGTCCAAGCGGAATTTCTCTTTTTCCAAGTCAGAGATGTGCTACAAAACAGTTCAAGTGATTGTTCTCATGATCAATCCAAGAAATGTGCCAATACAAAAAGCACAGTTTCCTCAGCCATTAAAATTGCACACTTAAAAGAACAATGGAGTGTTCTGTTTGCCATTACAGGAGACACAAGCTGTTCTTCCAAAACCACCACTACTACCCAAACCTGAGTCCTCCTAAAAAAGGACTACTGGCGGATGAAGTGAGCCATAGGTTCTCCTACCTCTTAAATTGCAAGTGTTGTTTGTCAAAACCCAGAGCAGTTGCTTTCCTCTCCTCAGAAAGGTTTTCAAAGTTTTGCAGGAGCCTTGGCTTAATGCCTTCTTTCTATGCCCTTTCTTGCCCTAGTACCTCCTATCCAATCTGTGAGAATTCCTCCAAGAGAGAAAAACCACATTAAAGCCTCAGAACCCAAATGAACTCCCATCGAAATATAGGACTGGAAAAAGCAAAGTAAATTAGTGGATTCACCTTTTCTGGTTTTACTCTATTATTACCCTACCAAAATTTAGATTGTTTTGGTTTCAAAACGAAGTTCTTCCTGTCAAGTAAAGCTGACATTTCGTCCTCAAGGAGTTTACAATGCTCATCTTTTCAGACACCTACTACAATAATCTCTTTAATGTGAGAGCATTTTAATTCATTTGCTGAGAATTTATAGAGACAGGCACTTTTTTAATGCCTGACTTTAATCATCCATTTGTGACAAAGTTTACACAGATGTAGAAGAAATTGACTTTAACTATTTTTTTTTAAATTCATTTTCTTATGACTGATCATAGGGGACTTTTGCCAACAAGCAGAAAGGGAAAGTACCAGTAACTCCCTAAACTATTGTGCTTTTCTAGAGGACTCAAGAAATAGGCTACTCATGGAGGAAAGTGAGCTAGTCTACTTCAAGGTGTTTGCAACCCAGCAACCCAACAAGCAACCCAACAGGTTTTATTAATATGATCTACTAAGAATGGGTCATTTGTTAGGAAAATAGTTGATATCAAAGGTCAGTAGAGTGTAGATCTATAATTCCAATGAGGAGTCTTTTTCATCATGCATATGAAAAATATGCCGCCACCTACTGTAAGTTACCATCATTGGTAATAGCCTGGGCTAGTCCAATAGTCTCCATGTTAGTCTCCCTACTTGAAGATTTCTTTGCTCCATCTTTTCTCTACAACAGTCATCTCCGAAGTGGGGTACAAGGACCAAAGGGGCACCATAAGGTGATTCATTTGTGTGCAGGAAATAGACTAGTTAAATTTAATTACTGATTAACATAAATATTTGTGTTATTTATATATTCCTATCTCTATCTGTTGAGGGAGAGAGGGAGAGAATATGAACATATAAATAAACATTTTGGAGTCACATGCTGATTGGTGTACATGATAAAAAAATTTAGATGCCTTGCCCTACAAAGCAGCAAAAGTGGTCTCTCAAAAGCATAAAAAATATATCATTCATTGCCGGTATGTGAAACCTTTCAGTGACTGACTTTTTCAAACAGACTACCTACACTCCTCTCCACGGTCCACCTGGTCAGCATGAGCTGGGTTCTGCCCATTCCTCAGTCACGTTAGACAGCACTCTCCCTCCACATGATTAAGCCATTCTGGAAATCCTTTCCTCCCATGTGCCAAAGTGTTTTGTGTTGTTCTTTTTTTTAACTCATGACCTTTACAAATGCTGTCCCACCTACCTGAGGGCAGCGTTCCACATGACCCTCATTCACACGCTGACCCCTTTGAAAACTTCACTTAACATGTACTTCCTTACACTTTCCCTGACTCCCTAAACTAAGGAGAAATTCCTCCACATTTTCTGCATCAATACATTCTTAGTTCCTTCTTAGCATGCTGCAGGCTTCGATTATTTTACTTGAGTGTTTCTTTGTCAATACTTCTGCCAAAAGCTACAGGTGGACGTGGACCATGTCTCCTCTATTCTTTCTTTTCCCAAAGCCTCCTTTGGTACCTGGCTCATGGAAGCGTGCAGTGAATAACTGGCTAGCAATGCAGCAACTAATGTAACAGCCTTAGTTTCACAATGACTAAGAGCTAACATTCTATGAATCAGGTGCACCCATGTGCTGGAGACCATGTTAAGGATTTTACATGCAACTTCCCATTTGGTTTTCTACAAAATTTGTCTCAGCTGAGTGAGTACTATCATTGTTCCCACTGTAAGGGTTATGTTAAATAACTATATGCAGTCACATGACAATTTCATGCAAGGCAAGGCTTCAACCCAGGCATCTTATTCCTAATGTGTTCTTGACTCTAATTTTCTTGAAGAGATCTCTCATCTTTCCCCTTCTACTTTTTTCCTCTATTTCTTTGCATTGATCACTGAGGAAGGCTTTCTTATCTCTCCCAGCTATTCTTTGGAACTCTGCATTCAAATGGGTATAGCTTTCCTTTTCTCGGTATATCTCTTTAAATAAACTTACTTAGTCACAGTCCACAGTCCACATTCCATGTTTCCTTTATTTCACACTTAGTATGACTATTTAAATGGGAATATATGTATATATATATATGGATATATGAGTTCACAAAATGACAGTGATATTATTTCATACATTTTGTTCTTACTCCAAGTCCAAATAATAACAGGACAATACATTCTTAGTTCCTTCTTAGCATGCTGCAGGCTTCGATTATTTTACTTGAGTGTTTCTTTGTCAATACTTCTGCCAAAAGCTACAGGTGGACATGGACCATGTCTCCTCTATTCTTTCTTTTCCCAAAGCCTCCTTTGGTACCTGGCTCATGGAAGCGTGCAGTGAATAACTGGCTAGCAATGCAGCAACTAATGTAACAGCCTTAGTTTCACAATGACTAAGAGCTAACATTCTATGAATCAGGTGCACCCATGTGCTGGAGACCATGTTAAGGATTTTACATGCAACTTCCCATTTGGTTTTCTACAAAATTTGTCTCAGCTGAGTGAGTACTATCATTGTTCCCACTGTAAGGGTTATGTTAAATAACTATATGCAGTCACATGACAATTTCATGCAAGGCAAGGCTTCAACCCAGGCATCTTATTCCTAATGTGTTCTTGACTCTAATTTTCTTGAAGAGATCTCTCATCTTTCCCCTTCTACTTTTTTCCTCTATTTCTTTGCATTGATCACTGAGGAAGGCTTTCTTATCTCTCCCAGCTATTCTTTGGAACTCTGCATTCAAATGGGTATAGCTTTCCTTTTCTCGGTATATCTCTTTAAATAAACTTACTTAGTCACAGTCCACAGTCCACATTCCATGTTTCCTTTATTTCACACTTAGTATGACTATTTAAATGGGAATATATGTATATATATATATGGATATATGAGTTCACAAAATGACAGTGATATTATTTCATACATTTTGTTCTTACTCCAAGTCCTAATAATAACAGGTAACATTTATCAGGGCTTCCCTGGTGGCAATTTACTATTTGTCAGGCACTCTAGCACTTTGAATAA